ACTGCATGAAATGATGTTTTTATTCAGCGCCCACTCACCAGTCAGGCAAGCAGCAGCCAATCATACCCCAGCAGTCATGCATCATTCTCCACTTGGTGTCTCATACCACCGTCTTGACAGTGGAAAGAGAGTCCGGTTGACACCTTGAACAATTCAGATGCTGTTATTTTTCTGGGGTCATAAAGCCAGAAGGGGAAGAGTCATGTTAGTACACTAAAGTATAGTTTCTTACAGTGTTTTTTTTGAATGAAAGCTCTCATTGTGCTCTTTCTAAATCACACTCCCCTGACTGAGGCCATAGAGTCAAAAATATGTTTATTTTGCTTTCTGATATTTTCTGAGAAATGTGGCTTATAAACATGGTTTGAGTTGTTTATTTGCAGCCAGAAGCTATTGTATAAATTATGGACAGTTTCATTTTTTTCCTCCTAATCACTCTGCTCCTTTCTGAAAAGTCAGCTTTGAAAACAAAACACCCAATAATTGTGAAAAGTGGGTTTTAAGGTTCATCATATGCGTCTGAAGAAATCGTGTTTACCCAACCTTGTTTTCCCCACATTAACGCAGCCTGACCTTTCCAGTGACCTGTACAGATCCAGTACTAAGCTAAGTCCAAAACCTGTGTGTGTTTGTTTGTGCAAATGCAGGTACATGTGTTCCCGTACATCCCTTTTTATTTGTTTATATTTTTAAATTGACTTATACAATTGTATGTTATGTAAATAATATGTCTGTCTTTAAGCCGAGAGCTGCCGGGAAAAAATTTTGTTGTGCTATGCATAATGACAATAAAGATTCTTGACTTGACTTGACTTGATGTGTGCATTTATGTGTTTTTATGTTCTGTAATAAAGCAGGTTATCATGATAATACTAGGAAATAAATACAGAGATAAATAACAGTGATAATGATAGAAAATGGACAAAAGTGGAGAGGAAGTAAGATCTTTAAAACAAGTGAGGATAAGTAGTTTGTTGACAGGACCACAACTCCAGAACATTTTGGTCATGGTGTACTAATCATGCCTGTGGATGATATGGATCCAAGCTGGTGATTCACAAGAGAGCAGCCAGACTGACAGGCAGAGCATAGGTTAAAACCGGGGCAAAAACACAAAACACTCACACACAGATGTCTAACTTGCTTGTGTGGCCTGTGGAGGCCCATGCAATTTTAGAATTTGATCAAGTTGTAAAATTCTTTGTAACACCTAAAACCCTGATCCCTGGGTCACTGTGGCATTAATCATCTGCTTGGGGTAAAGCAGATGTTAGCAGAAAATAAACTGTCCCCAGGTTGCTAAACCCCCAACATCCCAGAAAAATAGCCCTGTCTGATGTGTAAACATGAAGATCAACTGGAATATACAAATTCAAAAAAGAAAGAAATATTTGCACTTTTAGCTTCTGTCTAAGTTAGGCCCTTGAAGTCCAACTGAGCAAGCGGCACAGTACAGAAGCCTCTCATCACCATGGAGATCTCTGTGGCCATAATCTCACCTTTTGCACTCCTAATTTAACTAAACCAAATGGTCAAATGGGCAGCTAAATGTCTCCTGCAAAACTGCCATGGCTGTTAACTCTGACACAGATTGAAAAACAGGAGTCTCGACCTCTGAGAATCGAGTAGTGGACTGTCGATCGGAAGCTAAGCTGGTCATCTTTTGCCTGAGGCTTGTCTGAAATGTATCTGTGACCAAGGAGCCTGGTCTTACCGCACCTGCATGAACATATAAGGAGAAAGCTTATATCCCTCTCCAGTGTCAGAGGATTAAAACAAAAGGCAAACTGGTGATGTTTAAACTGTCAATTAAGGTTTGAGTCAGTGTGGGCAGCTTGTGTAGGATGTTATTCATCTCACAGGTCTTGTTCCAAGTGTTGTAGTACTGAGAAAATGACTAACCAGATGCCCCACACCTGCAGATCTTCAACAATATGAAAAGGTTACTACTGATGTCCTGGATGTTTGTAGCAACAGATTGGGAACTGGCATTTTAAAGTCACACAGACAGTTAGCTTCATGTGGAGCAGTGTGTCTCTGGGCACGAGGGGCTATTTCTGACACACAGTGTCAGAATACACACCAATCACTCCCAACATCGTACACAGGCCCGGATGTGCACGCATGTGTTAATCTGTGTACAATATGTGAAGGTGTGTGTGCACTGCAAGTGTAGATGGCATAGGGATGAGATTGTTCTAGATAAAATCCATCTCTATTTTTGTGTGCATGTACATGGACTGGAGGTGTATATTTGTTGCTGAGGGCACAATGGGATATTACAGTCCCTTACAGAAAACAAAAGCTTAGTGACAAGCCTGCCTGCTCACCTCAACTGTTCCCCCTCTAGTTGAGGTACAGAGGGACTTTCTGTGTGCCTATGTGTGCACAGTATGCAACGACTTGTATTAGATCCCATAATTCCTTTGACACACTCTAGCCAAGAGCTGCCCTTAGATTGCAATGCTAGGCTATTTCCTCCTTGACTCACACTGATCCTGACCAGGCACAGCATACTCTGGGATACAACCCCACTTTATCAGTGAGATGGGGGTAAAAACCTCTATAGCTGGATATGATGCTGCTTCAGTACAAAAATAAACCCTATCTGTTTAGGGTGGAGTTTCCATTGCACTACAGAGCCCAACACAGACCTTACCAACACAAAGCTGCTATAATCAAAACCTTTATGTTATGCATTTTAGCATCTTTCAGCTCAGTGTTGTGGTTTTAGGACCTGCAGCATTACTACTAGTCTGCTGAGCTGATGAAGACCAAACAGAGCAACAAGCGAGAGAATACTGGGCTCCAAATGAATAATGTTTGAACTGTTTCAGCTGGGTCTGTACAGTAAATAGACAACTATTGGCTAAGACATTTACCATAATTTGTAAAATTTATAAGAGATCACTGTTGTGTTTACAGCTTTTTGCAATGTCCCCAGTTGCACCCCCACCCCCCAAAAAATCTATTGATAATTCAGGTTTAAATGTGCAAAGAAAGCGATTAATCAAAATGGAGAATTATACCCAGAAAGTCGACAACTCTGGCTGCACCTGCTGTAAAAAGCAACTCTCCTGAATTCACCGTTACAATCAGATCAGACCCAAAGAAAAAATATCAAACTATAGCTTCAGGACATATACTGTAGCAACAAACCCCAACAACAGCCATTTTATTTTTAAAACAGCCTTTAAATGCCTGTAAAAGTTATTATTAAAGTTCTGTTGTTGCTTTCCATCACAGCTGCAGTTACATTAAAGCTCTGATTGTGAAATGGCAGGGCCAGTGGGGTGAGGTGGGGGGTATTGGGGTTACTATTTTTAAGCTGCCAGTAAGATATAAAAAACTCTGCTGACTACAGTAGTGTCAGAAAGTTGAACTCCGTGACACCTGAAAGTTTAAAAACACCCTACAATCTTAAAATCTTGATCTCAGAAAAATTATGGTTTCAGTTCCTAAAAAGTCTAAAATAAAGACAGATTTAAATATGTATAATTGTCACAGGTTTTTCAGTTTTAGGAACATTTTTATATCTTTTGTTCTTCTTTAACAACAAAAAGTTAAGACGATCAAGTTCCTTCAGCTTAGGAAACATCAGGCTTTTTTGAAATAATCAAGATAAAGCTTGTTCTGTTTTCCTGTGTAAAGGAGTAGTAGAGCAGGAAGTGTCCAAAACAATATCCAGTAATAAATGTTCACACCCACACGGCAATATCTTAGAGTACAGTCATGCAAAATACACATTCCTATTCATGCATATACAGCACACACACACACACATACTACAGTGGCAACATCCTTCCTTTTTATTGCATCACATACAGTAGCAGCACAGCATTCCCTTCTGTCAGGTCAGTGCATGTAGTGCACTGCATTTTGATTATGGTTGGGAAATCCCAGTACTTTCCTTTCTTTGGAGATGTGTAAAGATGTTCCTTTAGTGGGCAGAAAAGAAAAAATAATTTGCGACAGACAGTCCATCTGTTCTGCTTTGTACTCACCTGAAGACAGTGTGGGGGTTTCAGCATATTTGCATTCTGATGCTTGGAGTGCTCTTTTTCCATTTGACACTTTTAGTCAATGAGTTTCCTTGGAGACAGAACGGATTCATGCTGTGAGAAAAATCAATTTAATGTAGCTTTAATAAATGACAGAGGGATATTGTGCTTTACTGAAGTCAGAGTATTAAAATTAAAGTTCTCAGGCAATATAAAAAGCATTTACTGACAAATAAATACAACAGTAGAGGTAGTAAATGATAACTCTTTACTGTATGATCCATAAAATGTATAGTACAGGATGTTCCTCCTCTTGTCAAGATGTTTTATTTGAAACTGTGTGTGTATGTAACAGCTGGACATCTAGTCTTGTGCCTAATGGTGTAGGATACCATGAAAAATAAAATATTAGCTTGTACCAATGGTCTACATCCATCATCGCTTAATGTCTCTGAGGAAGTACGTCAGCAGAGCGAGTTAGAGGAGGGAAAAGCTGAAGAGTGCAGCAGTAACCGCATTTCACCGTGAATCACTGATGGTGGGGAGTTGGTTTTAATTACGCTAAATTTCTTTCTGGATAGTCAAACACTGACTGTGCTGTTTTTCCTGCATCTGGGCCCCAACGGAAAACGTATCAAACCCCCTAACAGGTCACATATGGGAGGAATTTGCAGTGAAGCACCAGTAGTGAACAGCAGCATTGTAATGCAGTATATTGTTACAGTCTATGCTCATTAGTGATCAATGGATTTTATCTCTGTGTTTTATGTCTTTGTTAGAACCACATTCATTTTATATGAAAAAATTGTTACATTGAATTTGAAAGTTTAGAAGAAACAAGTGTTTTTTGTATATATATTTCTGTAAGCACAACTACAGGTGGACTGCAACTGTATATTTACTCAAGTACTGTTCTTACAATATTAACAGTTTGAGAAGTACTTTTCAGATTAATATTTTACATATAAGCATTCTAATAAAAAACAATGATTTGTTAATGATTAATCAGTGGTACCTAACCTTGTCCCCATCACTGTCAGGTTAGGGTGGGTGAGGTCTTTGTCATGTTTCAGATGTCTTGTCAGCAGTTTAACCAAAAAGACAATGTGTTTACTGTTAATTAGCACATTTCAGCATGCACATGCAATATACTAACACACAACATGCTAAATTTCCCAAAAATGGTAAACATTAACTAAGCATTATTACTGTTGAACATTGGCCTATTAACATGATCAGTATGAGCATATTAGCATGCTAATGTTGGCATTTAGTTCATCTTAAATCTTACATTAGTCATGCTATAGGGATATATAGCATGTTTATAAATCTGTCTGCTGGTCTGGTGGTTCTTTTTGGAATCAAACCAGTGATTCCCAATGCTTTTGGCTTTTAACCCCTTACAAAAATAGTATTGCCATGTTACATTTCAGATGTCAATGAATTAGTAGTTATATTCTCTCAAAATCTTTTAAATAGATTCATTTAAATACCTATTCAGGGACCAAAATTTGGTTACTGAGCTTTAACGTACAGTTAGTAAAGGATCCAAGTACCTGACCTCACTACACGTCATTAAAGTCCTCAATCGTGCACATGTTATGTTGCTACCCTCTAGTGGTCAAAGTGAGAAACACAACTTGGGACATTTATTAGGTGACTGAAAAGAGAAACACCAAATAAATTTCTCATTAAAACTTGAAGATTCCCAGGCTGCCACCTCTTGGGGCCATCTTTGTACATCTGTTAAATGAAGTAAAGATGAACAGTACTCTGCTCTCCTGTTCTGCTTTCTGTTTACTATTTATTTTTGTGCACTGCACTTGATCATTATATACATCTTGTAATGGTAAACAAAACTTAAATGGAACACATGAACATAATTTATACACAATTTAGTAATATTTGAACAGCAGACAGGCAAACATTAACATACAGTAGTCTGTGTCCAAATCTGATCACTTCCACACATACCACAACTTCACACAACACACATCCATTGACTATAATATAGAGGTTAGCTTTTCTAACATAGCTGTAAGATTGCAGAAAGAGAAACCAGTCAGCGAGGGAGCGTATGAGGGTTATTATTTCACACGTAGGTCCTCAGTGTAAATAGAGCACAGAAGCACATACTCCACACTTCCTGTGTCTGGTAAGTCGCCAAAGAAAGCAGTAGCCTCACTAATAGAGGTGAACATTTTCAGCCCTCTGAGATCCAGCGTTCGTTTAGGAGGACTCAATTCAGTTGACACATTTTCTCTACTGTCATGTGATTGATTCTGGGTCCCAAAACAGTTGAAGAAACAGTGCTTTACAGCAGTCAGACCTTTTCCCTGCGGTCAGTATTCAGTCGACATCCTCATCACAGATGAACAAAGTCGAAGTTCAACAAAGGGAAAAGACTTTTTGATGGTTAACAAGAACTATGGACCACCTGAAAAGTGTCTCATCCTTCACCTAAATCTCCTAAACAGAGAGAGGAAACAGTAATGATGGAAAGAAAAACAGTTCATGAACATGTAAAGGAAAATATTCAGCTCAAATCTTGTATTAAAATGGAATTAAACACATTTGAACTAATAACAAGCTCATACATCTTATAAAACCATCTGTACTGGGTTTTACAGTAAAGCTTTGTCAGTTACACAGTGCTGAGAGGTGAACATGTTGTAGAGCCATTTTACTTTGCTGTGAAAAAGAAATTTAAGAATTTCTTCAATTTCTTTTACACATATTTTGTTTTATGTTTGTCACTGGCCCATAGACTTCATCCCAGGATTGAACTACATTTTACACACCAGAAATGTATAGGATTTCAGTGAGATCAGGAATTTGAGACACGAAGCAGTGAGATACAGTGAAGCACATTCATCCACCCATTGCTTTGACAGTTTATAAATCATCCTATGACAAAAGTATTCATGTTCGTAAAATCAACCCATATCTTAATCACAATAATGTCACGCTGTAGTTTGGAAAAAAGATACTGCAGAATATAAAAGGCTATACACACAAAAATTGTGATGTAGTCTGAATAAAATATTCCCTTATTTTCAATATAACAGCCTAAAAATGCCTAACTTTGCCTTCATATTCTTTCCCTGATGGAAAAAAACAGAAGAAAATGAAAACAATCAAAATGAGCTAATAAATAAATCACAATGGATTTCCTTCAAAGCTGTGCTGGGTCAAGTTTTCAGTTTGTGCTTTACACATTGTGTATGAGTGAGACCTTAAGGTGCTTCATGTAGGGAACTGTACATGTACTAATCCTAAAATATACAATCCCCAGTTTCCCTCACACATGGAAACACACAAGGCTTGCTTACATCAGACACACCAGTGAGAAGGGGCTTGCCTATAATACACCATTGTGGTTCATCAGTCATGAATATTATGTGAAGTATTGAAATGTTGGCAGCCTTTGACATAAACCTTGTGTTTTTTCATTTTCAGTTATTCTCAGCAGGTTATGTTTAAGGCTAATGGAGTTGGAAGCCAACCTTTGCTTTAATTCGCTTTTTAAATGGGATTAACTCATTAACTTTTTAAATATGTACCAACAAACAGATGATTGTGGATGAAAACCAGGTTTGGCCTCAGTTCATTTTCACTCTAATCATTGAGAAACATACAGTCACTCCATGCTGATGTTATTTTTTTCTTATTTCTAGGAACATTCAACTCCATGAAACTGTGGATTGGATCTGACAGAACTGATCATGGATCCAATTTTACTATAAGATACAAATTAAAATCTACTTCCTAAGCAAAATGGCTTGATTGCTGTTAAATGCTTTTTGTGCCTTACAGACTATTTGGAGTTAGGACAGGCTGCAAGATGCTTGTTCACTTTACTCCCTGATGTTTTTTTCTTATATCTCATGTGTCCTTCATCTGTTGCTCCCTATTGATCTGTCTCCTGTGATTCAACCATTCCCTTTGTTTCTAGAAATCTCATTGACTATGCATTGTTTGGGGGGTCTTCAGGGCTAAGGATACTCAACGAGGAAGGACAATGTTGAATCACATGCATGGAGTAGTAGGAACACTGGAGCTACAGGGAGCCATTTGTTCAGTTACTCTGTTCGGGCACTGGAGCTCTGTAGTCTTTTATTGTCATTGTAGATCAACTGGATGTTCTATGTTTGTGTGGCAAAAAGAGAAACACAGGTCTCAGCACAGGTATAAAGGCAGATGTTGTAGGGTGTGGCTGTAGTATGTTGACCAGAGGTGACAATACATTTTGTTATGATTTGATGATGGAATCATCCTCCCCTCACTTACTTCCTTTCAGTAGAGGGGTTTTTGTCCTTGGCTTTCAAATTCTGACCAGGCATCATTTAGTTCCATGAAAATCATCTTGGCATATTGTTCATAGGGTTGTCCTGTTGCCTGTGAGGGAGGAGAGAAAAACATGGTTAACTCATGGGAAACACATTGGGCTTCTTCACGGGTGATGCAAAGCAGGTGTTGTGCCTCTACAAAGTGCCATACACACACATAACATCAATGAATGCACATACAGTAGTTAAAAAAAAGAAGGTGACAAAAAAAATGGTGTCAGTCGTTTGGGTTGTACTACACTCTTGTCTTGTTAGATGTAGAGCCTCGTAAGTCATTTTCCCTGTCTACACACAGGTAGAGATCCTCTCTCTATGAGGTCTAAATCCACCACCCATCATCTGTCTCACCTTATCTGGATGAACGACCAGCACTGCTTTGCGGTAGACCTTCTTGACCTGTTCTGGAGTGACCAGGTCAGCCATGCCCACAGGCTTCCAGCGTGTCTCTCCCTCCCACAGCACAGTGTGCATGGTGGACAGCAGGGCTCGGATGTTACGCTCCTTCCCCTCAATCCAGTCGAGAATCTGGGGCACAGGAGAAAGAACACTTATTAGCAGAAATGCTTTCAGTTGTTATGGCACCAAAGTGTGGTCATGGGAGACCTACACTGATTGTCTAAGGAATCCTGTAATAAATGGAAAGGCTCTAACAGCCCAGTGTTTTTGAGTCCACTACCCTACTTTTGAGAATCATTGAATTGCTTCGTTTGTACTGCGCTGGATAAACTGATGACAAAACCCCAGTGACAACAGTAAACAGCAAATCTTCCCAGATTTACTGATCCAAGAGTCATTGGACCTTATACTTATTGTCACGGATACTATGAAAGCATTTAGGAACAAACAAACTACTCATATCAGATATTATTCAGCAGCCCTGCCTTTAGTTTCTCAGGGTCCATCTCTTTGGCCATCTCCTCCTTCCTCATCTCTGCTATAGTCCTTGGCCCTTTCTTCTCTTTGGTCCCTGCAAAGCCCTGACCAGACAGCAGGTCATCAAAGTTGGCATCCGAGGCCCTGGGCTTGGAACCTTCCAGAGAGGTGTATAAACACAAAAGATGGAAAACATACTTTTTAAAGCTACTTAGTCACTTATCATGTACAATGAGATGTACTGTACTGTGAATAACTGCAATCCAATTAGTTCCCACTGGAGAATGAGTGTGCCTTCAGCATCAAAGTGTTACTGACATTATAAAAGATACAACAGATTTTTAAAGCATCTGTGAACTTGATTTTAGAATCTGTGAACTAACAAACTAGAAAACTAGGCAAAATGCTGTAACTCAATAAGATCTCTATGAATATGTACATGCACCAGTTTAATTTAGTACTGTACCAGTTGCACAGTTTGTTCAAGGAGTATGGTAATGTATGTTATGCCGACAAGAATTCTGCACATTTCCATGATAGTTCCAGAATAACCGAGCATCCACTTCTCCTGCTTACCCATGCCAGTCTGTGCTTTACTGCCTGCACTGGGTGAGCCTCCTCCCATTGCAGAGAAGCTGACGTTGTAGTTTGGTCGGCTCTGGGGCGATGTGTTTGGCATGGAGGTGTGACTGGGGCTGGGCTTTGGCTGTGGGGAGGGACCCTGTCCTTGGGGTTGCCAACCTCCGCTGCTTCCAGCACCTGGCTGCCACAATGGGAAGCTGCTTCCTGTATGGGGCTGCCACCCTCCTGTGTGCTGGGGAGATGGAGGAGGCCGTGATGGTGATCCCATGGGAGGGAATGAAGGAGCTGTTCCAGTAGGGGTGGTGGGTTTACTGGAGAAACCAGAACCTCCTGAAGAAAATGACACAGGCTTTATGGCATAGAGATGGTGCCAAAAATGACCAAGGCTTGGGAAAATTTCCAGTGACTGACCTCCAAGGCTTCCACCCAGGTGGCCTATGTCAGCGAAGGGGTCCAGAGTGTTTGGCTTGGTCTGGTGGGTGGGGGTACTGTGTACTGAGCCTGTGGGACTGGTAGTGGCTGACCGACTGCCCGTACTGAAGCCTCCTCCTGAATGCACAAACAGCAGTGCAGGAGTAAACACTCAAACTGATGCGGTTACACAGGATAAAACACAAACAGGTTGAGCTGGTTCCCCAGATCAACAGATTAGTTGAACTGCTTGTGTTCACAGTATATATGTGTGTGGGTGTGTGTGTGTGTGTGTATTTGTGAGTTTTTGTGACTGAATTAATGAATTTTACCTGTGGTTTTGGTAGCAGGTCTGTTCCAGTCCCATCTTCCCATTGTGTTTTGCTGCTGAATGTTGACGGTTGGGGTGGTGTTAGGGGCAGGGGAACTCCGACCTATCATTCACATAAAGGTTTGTCATAAACAGAGCACACAGTGAATGAGCAACATGAACCCACACAGCCAGAAACAATAACAGGTTTAAGTCTTATGAGAGGTTTTGTTTGGGGGCTGTTGGATGTCTAAACGAACCTACTTTGTCAATGAAAGTAAATTTACAGTACTGTTTATTGCCTTACTAAAAAGGCACTTAAAATGTTACACAAGTGTCGTACTATACAGGTTGTGTACAAGCTACTGTCCTTACTGAGTAAGAGGTTTGCAACCTCTTCTATTGTACAAATTTAACAAACCTGTTGGGCTCAGGCTAGGTTCACACCTAAAAGCATTACTATAAACTTAGGTTAAGTTCAGATCAACAGTACATTGTACATTCATTAAATGTTAGTGTCAATTTTAAAATTAGCATGACACCATGATTAAAATGTATACTGATAATTTTGTCTTTGTCTCATTTCATCACACACATACAGTACATATACACACAACTATGTGAAGATCTTAAATCTAAAGAAAGATCTAGAGCAGTACAATTCCACTGTCCTGACTGAAATTAAAATTTGGCCTGTTGAACAACTGCAAGCTGAAAAATCGTGTTAGCTGATGACTCAAGATGGGGGTGAAACACTGTACAGGCCTGTGCAGTCTCTACATGGTAGTGATTAGATGGGCTGGTACTATTACATCATGCAAACTCATTCAATACAAATTCAATGTCTGAATGAGTAATAAGCAGAGCAAAGTTTATCAAGGGAAAAGGTCTAATCAATCTCAAAAATACAGGCAGGTTTGGATGCCAGTCTTAACCAGATTTGATGCAAAGAGATGATCACAATGCACATGGCCGCCGCAGACGGGCAGAAAATGTAAAAACATGCCTTACCCTGATTTGGGGCAGAGTCTTGAAATGTGTTTCTTACATCCACAATGCTATGAGACAGTTTGCAGCAGAAACATGCCTTACCCAGGTTGGTGGGCTGCAGGGTGGGTGATGGAGAGCGAGCAGCATGCAGGAAGGGGTCTGGCTGCCCCATGTTACCTGGTCCAAGGAATGAACCCATCATGTCCTGAGGCTTAGGCTTTGGACTGGTCCCAAAGGGATCAAACGCTGAGCAAAACAAAATACCCTCCATTGTTATTCAAGAAAATTACTCTATTTTCTCCACTGCTATAGAATATGTAGAGTGCTAGGGTTCAACCACATATCATCTAATTAAAACATATTTGAAAGCACCAGAAAAAAAGATAGTACTTGGACCTTGAGTCGAGATAATTTTGTCAGAATACTTTTTCTAAATTCAAGAATAAACTTTAATGCTTAATTGATTATATCAGGCATATATAGTCTATATTTACTGAAACTCTACATGTGTGATCTATGCTGATTTTGTGCAATATCATTTTAAAGACAATTTTAGTTTGTGTTTTAACTCAAATGTACTTTCCAACTTGTTATCTCACCTGGTGGTGCAGGAGAAGGACATGGCGAGGTGGTGTTAGGGACAGCTTTATGTGGTGTGGACTGGGTAGATGAAGGCCCACTGCTTGGCTGAGGTGGGGCCCCAAACAAGTCCCCTAGTAGGTCAGTGGCTGCGGCTGCAGTAGATGTGGGCTGAGATGAGGGGCGTGGGGAGTTGATCTCCTCCCCATCCAGGCCAAGAAGATCCGCTTCCTCAGCAGGTGCTGCAGCAGGGGGCCCAGGTTTCTCTGTAGACATGCTGGTGCTGCTTCGCTGGCTGGAGAGAGACAGCATCTCATCGTCTGAGGGCTCACTGTCCTCTCCATGGCCCCGACTGTTCGGACCTCCATGGGGTCTGCTTGGCTCTGTAGGAGCATGAGAAAAACAGGACAGATGGACATAGAGAGAGAACAAAACCGAAACAGGAAATTAACTGGGCAAGCGGCAGACAGAAACATAGAGACAGAAACATAGAGGACAAGAACCAGAAATAATGGGCAACTACATGGGTCATCGCTGGTGCAAGCACCGGCTATTCTCCTAATACAGTGTGCTATAAAGTTCCACGCTTTACAGTCTGCCGCTAGGTCATTAGTTGGAGTGTTAACTGCCTAAAACAGCACAATAAGTCGCAGTCAGAATCTTGTGGCATGCTTTCAATCAAAGTACCGTGGCTATAAACCACTATCTAGTATTAACTCACAGCAATATTTCACTTTGGTAGATTAGTTTTCCTTTTGGTATCATGACTGGGGTTTCCCAGTTCTCCATATCCACAAATATTTTTCAAAAACATTTCTCTGAATATATAAGAAAATCCACACCTGCTTATAGCATACGTTATGTTCTAAGGGTATTAGTCTACTATTATCACTACTACTACTACCACTATTACTACTGTTAATCTTTTTCAATTCAATCAATACAGATAGGAAACAGTCAAGTAATCTTCTAGTAATAGCAGATGTGTTGGTCAGTATTTTAATAAAATACTCTCATGCTTATTTTGTGGGGAGTATGATTGAATTGACATAAGTCCTGAGTGAGCTAACTAATGTTACTATGCTGTACAGTTTCTTTAAAAGTTTGTGGTCTCCTCTGCTGCCTTACCCTCCAGATCCAAACCCTCCATTTCATCTTGTAGGAACAAAAACGAGAGTCACATTAGTGGATTTAAGGTTAATTCAGGACAATAATTAGTTTTAAGTAAGGCTAAATAGTGTTGGGTGTTACAGAATAGCAACAATAGCAACAGTCAATTCATTTTAAGACAGCTCTAGCTAATTTACCTTTCAAGCACTAGCAACAACACTTCTGTCACTCAGAGTTGTTGGTACTGATTATTAATAATACGGGTTTTGTATGAAATAAGTCTTAGGTGTTAAAATTTTGGTAAACCCCATATGATGGTTTTCAGAAAGAATCACACTACACTAAAGCTAATGGATTACTAGCTCAAAAGTCAAATTTTTGTAAAAAAAAAAAAAAAAAAAATTATTGGCATTAAGATGTCCTCACTTGTGTGGACATGTATGAATAAGGTATGAATCGTCCACATAGAGCATCCCACCTCAAACCTGACTTATGTTATGGCTTAAACTTAAACATGTCAGCGTTTGTCCCCCTTGTACCAACAGTACCAGCAATAGCAAGTGCGTCCTGATGTTCCTGGTGGCAGGAGAAGAGCACACTGGGGCTGAGGTCTTTACAAGGGAACTGCTCCCATGGTGGAGTCAGATCCTTTTGCTTGTCCACCCCCTCTACCACCATGTCCAGTATCACATGAAACAGCTGGGGATACTTCTCAGGAGAGTCACATGCATCCAGCTCTGGTCTGAGAGGAGCAGAAAAATGTGTTTTATAGTGAGAGGCAGAGAGATAACGAAGTAGAAGTGGCAGCGCTGGTTTTAAGAGGATTTTATTTCTCCTGGACTAATAAACGTTACCACAAAGAAGAAATGTTCTTACTTGTTAAACTTTAACATCGTTGTTCCAGGAGCAATGAAGCCAGTGTGAAACTGGATCTGGAAGATCTGGGTGTTGGATACCTAACAGGAGCAGAACAAATGTGGCAAACACCATGTGATACTTTAGTTTGTTATACATAATTATAATAATCAGTAGTCAAATGCTCTGTAGTTTCTCACTACACAACTTTCTTAATCGCAAGCATTCTCATGGACATGATTTTCATTCAAAGAGAAATTGCATGCTTGCCATCTTTAAGAATTTCTTTGTACAGCAGGCATCTATTTTCATATTTTTCATGTGACAATGTTTAACCTATCAGCTGAAAAGCTTGAATATACATTAGGTGTGAGATCTGGGGCATCTGGTCAACAGGGTTTTACAGTGGAGTCTCAAAAGGTGGATCCAAATGCAGCCGGTCAGGCTGGAAAGAAATACATTTATAATTATGGTAAATTGCTAAATTATCACGCAAAGAGTCTGTTATACAGGAACAGTTAGATTTTTAGGTGCTATGTCCTATTTAAATTGTGTAATTGCATGCACATACATTTTTATATTACAATTAAGAATTGTAAAGTGAATTTTGGATCAAAAGTAACACTGACCAAAACTTTCATTGTAAAAAAAATTTGGATTTTATAACTCTGCTGCCATTAGTGTCTGTTTTTCACTGTGCTGGAAGGAAACCACATATTTCCATGACCCAGGCGTGTCATTAAATTAAATACCTTCTTGTTACTTCTTTCATCTTGAAATTTTGTGGGTCGTGTTTATAATTAAGATGCACAAAAATTCAAATGAGCTCATTGTTCTGTGGTTGTTCAGTATGAGTCTGTGCCAACAGAACGCACAGGAGTCGACATAGCCGAGTACATACAGTATATTCTACCTTGGCCTGTAGACGTCCTCCGATGGTCGACCGCATGTGGTAGACAGAAACCACAACATCACCTTGCACACTTACACCCAGTTGGAACACCACCTTTCCCTCTTGGATCCTGTGCTCTCTGGGGTGGCAGGGCATACAAAGACAGTAGGAAAAAGAGAATTGGAGGAATGAAACACGAGAGGAGGGAGTGAGATACAGAGAAAAAGAGACAAGGAGGGGATAATGAGCAGATTATATTTTGACTCTTTGCATTGCTTCACTGCACTGCATTGCTTTGAGTGTTGGTATGAAGTCATTACCTCATCCTCTCATACTCCTGTGCAGTGGTGAAGATCTTTGTCTCTCCAATGAGGACGTCGCAGAAAGGCCGACAGCCGCTACGCTGCTTGTTGAAGCAGGGAACTGGGCTCATGGTGAGGGCCTTGATAACCAGGGGCTTGGAGTGCGGTACACTGGGTTTCTCTGATACCATGCTACATACATAACCTATGTACCTGAATGGAGACAAAGTGATATGTGTCATCAGTCATTCACAAACTGACAGATGTAATACAGACAGTGGGGGCTCATTATACTCCATAGCACCAAATGCTGTATTGAGCCAACAAGCACAAGCAGAAGCACAGACCAATTACAGAAAAGTGAAACACTCTGATAAGAGCAATCAAATCACTTTAAAAACTGAGCTCTGTCCATAATGATATTATTTCTGCAATTTCCATAAACTCTCTGTCAACTTGAATTAAATCTGTGACTCATGAGGAAGAATGTGCTCAAGTCTGGACTGAAAAAAGGTCATAAAATCCATCCATGAGGGCCTGTCAGCTCTGCAGGCTAAGACTCACACCGAGGACTGCTGGCCGCACCGTTTGGCTGCTGCATGTTTCTGACTTCACTGACCACCTATTACAGCAAATGGTATGAAATTATGCTATGTAGAAGAATTTTTGCCTAAATGGGGAAAAACAGACCAGAAATTAAGACTGGGTTAATAAGTGAAACTTACTGATAATGTAAATTGTATTCTCATTAACTCAGTGTTTCTTTCTTGGAAGATGGAAGACATTCTGGTCATGTGCCTCAGTAGCTACAGTTTCCTTTCACTTCCCCTCTTTTCTCTCTCATTCTCTTCATCACACTCACACACACAATGAAGGATGCAAACCTGTGATGCGAAGGCCAAAGGCCAGACCCTGGTCTCTTGGCACTGAGCAGCTGCATGGCGGGAACTGGGTTGTTGAAGAGGTGGCAGAAGCAGAACATGGCACAGACCAAAACACCTGAAGGTGCGCGGCCATCCTGATCGCACACAACAAGGGAGACAGTTTAGGTTTTGCTTCACTAGCATATTTTTGTTTTTTATGTCTGGCATGCATGTCTCCATTCCATTTATGCTTCCATTTACACGATGACTCCAACTTTCTGAGTACTTCTGTAGATGAAAGACTTACTATTAAGTAACCAAATCACTGTCATAGCTCCAATAAGCTCATACAATATAAAAGTTTAATTACATTTCAGATGATGAACTCGTGTGCCCAAATGAGCAAACAAGTAAGTAGTAGTAGAGATTTTTGTTTGTTGAATATCTCATTTTCTCTGAGTTCATTTCATGTTACAGGTTCTTATGATGTGAAGCAGAGAAAATATTTTTAGAAAAGATTTTTTGAAGGAAGGAATTGGTGGAGATTCAGCCAAGCCACAGCCAAACCGCTCTGTCTTGGCAATAACATGCTCTACCACATGCTATAGTACAGTATTGCTGTTACTGAATTAGAACAGACAGAAAGGCCATTCACTGAACACTCCAGTAGTTATGGTTTGAGCTGTGCTTGCAATATTCCTGACTGCCGCTTTATATTTCAGACAGGAACACTTCTTTGTCTACTTTAATTGATTTTTTTGTCTTGGACTTGTCAGGGATGATCAATTCTCTCAAAGACCAGTCACTAATCAACAAGAGAGGTGGAGAAATGAACAGAAGTAGTGGGAGCATTTTGACAAGCTCTATGCAGTGGTTTATTGTATGTGGAAGCAAGATGGACAAATATTCCAGCATCCTGGGGCAAATATGAATGTAAACAGTTGACTGTTGTCTTACCGAGCAGGTGATGACACACACGTTCTTGGGATTCTGTTTGAGCCAGTTGTGCATGTTCTTACACACAGCAAACAAATTGTGCAGGCTTGGAGCCTGGCGAGACGGCCAATTACACTCTGAAACCTGGAAAGGAGTTGGTGCAGGAAATAAGAGAGGGAGGACGAATGAAGAAACAGGGATAGAGGGCAGAGAAGAGGCAAGGAGCACATCAGATGGAAACAGAGAAAGGCAGAGAAGCGGTGGGGGAGATCAGGAGAAGAAATTTGAGGAAGCCAAACATGAGTTGGAAAAGCAAGAAAGAGTCATAAAATCAGGAGGGGAGGAGAAAGGAGCGGAGGTTAGCAACACAACAAACCAACTGCCATGATGAGTCATACAGCAATCTCCCCGGGCAAACAAGGGGCATCTCTGCCATGTGTTAACGCCACTGCTTGACTCCTCAGTTTCTTTCTATAGTTCTGCTGGAGGGTGGGAGTCTTTTTTGTCAATAGAGACCCCACATGTGCTTTCACTTCCAAATCCAACTGTGCAAAATTGCTGAATTTGGAAGTGAAAGCTCTAAATAAGTACCTATATTTCACTCTAGTGTTGTAATAATCTGGGGAGTGAAAACGGTGCAGCAAACACTAACAACTAAGTACAAACATAAGTCAGTAGTGGCTTCATCAGTAGCACTTACCCTGCTGGAGAATTTGGCGCCACGGTAGTTGCGCTGTGATAGGTTGAAAACAGTGTAGTGGTCGGCATGGTGACTGTCGAGGAAGGAGCGGATGTCTTCTACATGATTCTGGTAGCCAATCTGGACTGACTCAGATGGGTAGGTCATCACTGAAAAGATGTTTGTATGATTTTTTTATTTCTTCTGACAGTGTTAGAGTGCATTTACACACACATGCACACAGTGTCCATTAACTACAAACAAATGTGTTTACCTATGATCCGTGATGTGATGTAAGCAATGTCCAGTTCCCCTTTAGTGTACCTGAAACAAAAAAATACAGGATGTGTTTCATCAGATTAAGTATTACAAGCAATTTATATCACATGCAGAAAGAATATAAACTAATCTGCTGTCACACAAACAACTTTCAGAAATTTCAGTATTTGTGAAATGTAGCAGAATCCTCCAATATTTGTACTGTAAAGGCATAATATTATATTATCTAATATTAAATATCTTTGTCAGGGTCACCACAGTAAGATGAACTGTCTGGGATCAAAGGAAACCCTTATGTGAATTCTTCAATTGAGCAGCATTGCCTAGCATTACCAAATTTAACTATTCCAAATGGAAATTGTTTTAAAATTCTAGGCCTGGCTGCAGCACACGCATACTGTACATGGGATCCACTACTGCAGCACCCTGGAAGAGAAGGAAAACTGTGCTAATGAAAAGGCTACAAAGCAGGTGCAGGGTGGGGTTTTTCAGGTTGGGGTGGGATTTGTGGTAGAGGACTATAAATTCGCCAAAATTGTTGTATTTCTTTTAACCGATGAGTTGATTTAAAAGGGTTTTTACCCACCAGCAGCAGAAGGCTCCGCTACACACCGCACTGCAGTTCTCAAGCTAACCACGTTAGCAGGCTAATGTGTATCAGATTGAATTGACTTCTTGCCTGCTGTGAAAATCCTCCAAGCAGGACTGATCTGGGCCAGTCATCTCTGTGTGGTCATGGAGGAGTGCCATATGGCCCTGATGCAATGGGCATGGTTATGTAATGTAGTGCTACTCAACTAGTCTTCTATGGAGGGAGAGCAGATTTTGGGATTTACTTTGCATCTAAATACAAGTAACTCTGAATGTAATTTTCCAGGTAAATGCATTTTTTGATATTGTCCTTCCTCTTGCATTTATTTGCTGCATTGGTCTAGTCTTGAAAAATCAGACAACTGCTAATCCACAGTCTGAGTTAAATCCACCAGAGAGAAAGGTGGGAGGAGACTGCTATTGTGTCTGTAAAGCCTCCATAATGAAGTTAGTGGACTGGAGTTCAGGTTTCTGTTTTCAACCACTTCTGTATGACTGATGAGCAGGCTGTAGGTTTCACAAGGTGGCATTAAAGGCGAATATCTGGATGGTATACTTGCAATAGTAAATAGATAACCTTACTTACTTAATAACCTTAAATATATAGCACATGCGAATGTCTTTAGTTGAATTATTTTTATAAAACTTTTTAAGAACTGAATGAGACTGCAGTCATGTTTATAATTTCATCATAGCTTTTGTTTTTGTCAAAAAGTGTATTACAGAGGTGTGGCTCCTACAGGATATTGAATATGTTCTGTGCGAATTTGTGGCCATTTATTTGGGAAACAATAAAATTAACTTATTAAAAACTAAGAACGTTAAAACACAAGGCCTAAACTTGACCAAACACCACCACATGGGCCATTGACGTAGAACAAAGCAATGGAAAGCTAATGGACTTGGTCTTTATACATGTATCTTATAGCCAGATTTCTTGTAGGTCACATTATGTTGTATAATTAGACTTCCGTTTTGTGATCACTGTCATTGAATCTGTTGTCCAGTCGTGTTTCCATGATTGCTTTCATTAAAAACCTAAAAGGCCAACTGCTGCCTTCAACCACTGCTGGAAGCGTGTTGCTCGCTGCATGGCTGTACACCTACACACTTTGTAAGAGCAGAAGAATGACAACACACACACACATGCAGACACTGATAAGCACCACTGCCACCACCACAATGGCTGATGTTTATGTTTTCTCACTGGAAAGTAAACATTAGGAGCACAAAACCCATTTTAGGTCAGATTATATCAGTGGAGGTGCTCTAACCAAATCTCTAGTGACCGCACATACAGTGTAAGTGGGTTAGATCCCAATGGATATTACACCAGAGCTGTCTGCATTCCCCCAGAATGCTCAGTTTTAGTCTTTTCTGTTTCTGAACAACATTTTAGGACATAACTGCTTCTTAATGGATTGTTTAAGAAAAGAATGGTAACCAATATAAGAGGTAACAGAAGGGCACTGGCTATATAATGTTTGCAACCCACTGACCTCAGGGTCTGACTGAACTTCTTTCACACTTATCAAAAATGGTGCCAAAACTAAACACTACACCAGATTCTTTTTTGTTGATTCCGATGCCTTTTATCAAATTTCTCTTGATTTGTTTAATCCAAACTGACCTAATCCAACAAGAGATGCCTTGATGTTATGATTTATATATTTTGGCCAATTGGTTAAGAGAGAAAAGCAAGGGTTAAATGAAGAAGGAATGGCACAGGAAGATGCCAGCAGAGTTTATTGCTTCCTGTTTACAGGAAGATGCCAGCAGAGTTTATTGCTAATAAAATGAGGTCAAATGAGAAACAAAAATGCAGCTGAGTACTGTTTCCAGATTGGTTTCCCTGTAAATGTTCTCTTCAGCCAGGTAAACAAACAAGAAAGCTGCTTTAAATAATTCAGTGGCAACCCTTTGCCTTTAATTCAGATGAGAGAGAAACAGAGAGGAACAATCAGGCCGAGCTGAAGTGTTGAAATAGGCTTAACAACTGTGCTCATAGGGGTTTTGCCTTAAATCAAGCATGCTCAGAGAAATTTCCAATAACTATAGTCAGTGAAACAACTTCATCAAGAAATCACACATATTCAATCTCAATCTCTCCCCCCCCCCATAACAAATCTTTAGGTAATCTAAAATGTAGAAATGTCTGCTGGTCAGGAGGTGACTGAGGAGTCAGGCACCATGAAACAATATCTGACAATAAAAATAACTAAACAAAGTAAATAAATGAAAGAATATAAAGCAATAATGTTGGAGGAGCTCTAGCTGAAAAATAGTTTGAATAAATATCTATCAGAACAATCAGGAGCAATTACTGTACCTTGAAACAGGATTAATGATCTAATGCAAACAGCGCTTGACAAGATAATTTATCTTAGATAAAAAATAAAATGTTATCCTCCTACAATAAGATAGTATGACTTTGTCAAATTGGCCTAATGGCAGGGGGGAAGAGAGCAGCCGACCTCTCAGGAATACATGATGAGGTCCTTCAGCTCTTTATTATATCTCTCCAATTACTCCCTGACTGTGTCTACAAGTTTCACCCTGATGGAGCAACACAGGCAAACCACAAATGACAGTCACTGAGAAGGTCTGAGAAATTACGATTCCACTATCTATAATGTATATTATTACTGTACCATCATACTCGGAACTGCCTTGTTGATGTACAGCAAGCAGTATAGCTCACAAGGTGTTTATTTATTTATGACTACGATGGACTGCAAATTATAACCTCATCCTTGGGAAATCACTCAATGGGTCAACTTTTTTGTACATTTCTAAGTGAGCGAATAAACACCCATTCTTGTTATAGAATCATCAAGAAAACCCGACTAAGCAGTTTCCTTTAGGCCCATTGCCATGGTTGCCTGCCTCCTACTGCCCCATTATCCCAACCAGTCACTCACACATGCATATACAGTCCACCACCATCACACACCACCACACACATGGCCCAGATGAAATGAATCCTTCAGTATCAGCAGTGCACTGACCATTTGGCACAATGAACTGCCATGAATAATTTAGCCAGGAGAGGAACGACAGGCTGCAGAGAGGAGAGAGGAGAGGAGGAAAGGTGGAGCCAACATCAGAGGTGAGAGAAAACATGAGGGACAGGGGAGTGGGAGTTTGCCAAGATGTGAGCAGGAAAGGAGGGCATAATCAACAATTAAATGTGCTGAGTCAGTAGGGAGAGGAGCAATGTGTGTGTGCATGCCCATAGTTCTGACAATAGAGGCCCCTTTGTGATGCCTGTGCTGATGCCTGTGCACAAACACAGCAAGAAGATCGAGCCGTGCCAGACTCTGCCGCTTCCCTCTTTCCTCCCTCCATCCACACTGCTGTGTTTCACTCCTAAAGCTCTTAAAAACTTACTTTAGATTGTAATCAGCAGCTGAAACAATATTCAATTAACCAGTGTAATCACTGTTAATTATATAAACATGCAAAATCCACCTATTTATATTTAGGATAAATTTCTGAATAGCATTCATCATATATCAAATACCCATGGTCAATACTATGACAAAAGCCTTATATAATAAAACTGGATTAAAACAGATTTGATTTGATTTGATTTATTCTTTCAAGCATGTAAAGACAGTTGATATGTCAACACACATAATTTTACACATATCCAACAAATGCTAATCCAATATCAATTTGCTTATACCTAATACATGCTTGAATGGAGTAGGAAGAAGTCAGACTTATCCAGTCCTACCCCATGACATCATCTTACATCATTGGTTTGCAAGCAGTAAATAATTCTCTTCTACACCACACAAGTAATATACTAAAAAAATTATAACAGAGCGTTAACATTCTTACATAATTACATTCTTAAATAATTATCTTCTACACCACACAAGTAATATACTAAA